AGGAATGCAGTGGTGGTGAGTAAGTACCGAAACTCGGTAGATGCGCCGTCCCCAATAAAGTTTATACATTTCGTACTCAGTTTTACGGAAGCAATAATATTCCTCCTTATATCCAAATCGTCGCGAGCAGCATTATACGGAGGTGCATCCGTGGAATGAGGAAAAGGGTTCTTTGAAGTAGAGAGGTGGCAAGTTTACCATTACGTCGGTGAATTGAGAGAGTGAGTGGGTGTCTCATCCTGTGCGGATGAGACAATTCGCTGCGTTTAAACTGGAATAAAGTGTTCTGCGAGGGGAGCGCGGGGAATGTGTGCAAAAATATGTTTTGTGCCTTTAATTTGTTTCCTTTCGTGGCTCTTCAATTATAATTGGTCGATTATATTTCATTGGCATCTTCTTCCTTTGTTTTCAATATGTTTCTTACGACTCGCTACTTTAAATGGAGTTCAAGGCTTTTACGCTGACATTTTTACAAAAACTGAAAAAATGTGTACTATTGTTCGAGTGCTTTGGAGAGTCGGTTGACAGTTGTGTTTCTAATATTTTAAATAATTAATATATTATGTAAATAGAACTTGAAACTGAAGAAGTAACACTTATCGCGATGCAGTATTAATGCAAATGTATCTCGGACATACAAAGTATTCAAAAACTTGACTGCAACATTAATTAATTGTTCATCTATGAAAGTAGATGGAGAAATGGGAAGAATATTATAATTATTGTTTTGTTACATTTCAAATATTGTAATTTCATTGGCCAAGACGAGCTATGAGTTGTATTGAAATATTGTAGTTTCAAAAAAATAATACTTCATTAATTGGGTTTATTTCTGATGAATTACTTAGTGTCCCAAAGGTGGATACTCGTATAAATATCATTTCAATGGAATCTCGTTAACTTAAAATGTATAATGAAAATAATTATTAATAGCTTAGATACGCTAGAATTTGAAGCTGAAGTGCCGTGAACTAAGTTATTATTAAAGTACTGTGGTATCCTATCGTTATGTCAAACTTAAGTAAATATCAATTATCCAGCAGTATTATTATTAATTACGCGGCAACCCACCTACTTTTGAAATAAATACTTCTTTATTTAGAAGTAATTCGAAATTTTCATATGTGGCATTACCAAATGAATAAATATTTCTTCTTGATTAATGTACACAGTGAACAAGGTGAAGTAAAGTTGGAGCCTTCAAAATACTACTGCGACAAAAGCCAAACGAGCATTGGTAATTAAAATTTCTTGTTTCTAATTAATTAGGATTATTTTTCTTCGAATAGAAAAAAAAAACAAATAGAAAAAATATGTATAAAGTAAATTGAAACATAATTTTTCTGTCCAGTGGTGAAGGCTTTTTATAAATAATTCGTCCGTACGGTGGGTCACTTTTTTTACATACATTTCTTTATCCTAGAAGTTTATAATTAATTTCAACGTAACTCCGGCTATTTTTCAAAATGTATCAATAAGACGCGTAAAACTTAATGAAATATTATATTATAAAAATATTTAATGGTAATGTGAAATTTTGTCCCATTCATTCGGAATGGTGGGGTTGTAAGCAGATGAAAAGATACAACAAAACGTTTAAAAAATTGATTAGGAAACTTAATTTATCTTCGACCTTTTGTACGTGTGCGTTGTCTCTTTCTCTTTGATGTCAAAATTAATTACGTGCAAACTTTTCTATCAGATCGTTTTTCACGATTTCTCTTTTACTCTTTTAACACGAATGTGAACGCTTTATAAGAGCGATCGTTACTTTGGAAAATCTATACTAGTTAATACTTTTGCATATTAGCAGGCGTATTATCACTATCTAAAATTGTATTTATTAAACTTAACTAAGGCTGTGTTAAAGAATTCGTTCAACTACAAATGGAATTACAAGACTTTGGAACAAATAATATTAAGAATAATACGTTTTTTCATAATTTTTCACGCCCTTTGTAAAACAATTAACGTAAAGCCTCAAGCGCAATTTAAAAATCATAAAATGCAATCCAAACCGCAATTCTAATTAATCAACAAATTTTATACTTTATTTACAGGGACTCCTTGATAAGTACCTGATCCCCAAGGCAAGCAGCGCTGAAAGCAAAGTTTTTTACCTCAAGATGAAAGGAGATTATTTTAGGTATCTCGCGGAAGTAGCCACCGGCGAAACTCGAAATGGTACGTACGCTCGAATTTATCTCCCTCTCCTGGCTTTTTATCACTCACCTATTATTTAATCACATCCCTCTATCACATCGCTCACAAAAGATTATATTACAGATTTACAAATTTTATTTATAAGTTGACTATATGCACTTGACTAACCTACTGAACAATAATTCCACGATAATCAACAATTTATTTCGTCGTATTAACTGCTACTTTTATTGAAACTTTTTTTTTCTCGGCATTTTTCGGCATACAATTGATGTGTAAAGAAAAAAAAAGGCACGGTAAGAAAGAATAAGTTAAGGAAATTTATTCGTTTAATCGTAAGCTTTTTATTAAAAATCGCTAATTAAATCATTTAATAAATATCACGTTTCATCAAAAATACTATATATTTTCAATACATTTTCGCATAGTTTGATAACACGTTCAGTACATTATTCGAAATAATTGAAAAAGAGAATATGAATATTCAATTTTTTGTAATTCTTAATCATCGTGGTGGTCGTGGTAATCATTATATGTAATTAGGCTATTAAAAGCTACAAAGTTTATATAAGTTTGGAATACAAAGACAAGCACTCCACTCTCCCCTCCCCTCGATTACATTCTCAATTACACTCCTCCATTCCATTTTAATCATACCGAAACTACGCAACCTTTTATTAATTAAGTCTACGATTATCACACTATCATACCTTTCACTTCTGTAAATATGTTTGAACTGGCCTAAGGGTAGAAGCTTTAACATAATGAGAAACGCTTTATTTTCAACTCAATGATGAAATGTTGATTGATTGCAAAGAGATATGTGTATACACATGTGTAGAAGAATTCATTAGATATTTTAAATACGATTGAAGTTTCATGGCAAAATGCAAAATGCCTGAATTTGTTTTAAATAAATGATTGCAATAGGCAAAGTGTTTAAAGTAAATTCATAATTAGAAGGATCGCCTATTCATTATTATTGTGTGGATACCTAATATGTAGAAGGAAAGCGAGCTATGTAATTTTAGTTCACCTATCGTTTGAAACAAATAGTTAACGAGCTTCTACCCTGAAAGCAACAATAAAAAGATAAAACCCTACAACAAAGGTATTGACGATTGTGTCTAATAATAATGATATACGCGACTGCTCGCGCGTTAAATATCTTCTCCGCATCCGACAGCCGTAGTCGAGGACAGCCAGAAAGCGTACCAAGACGCGTTCGAGATCAGCAAGTCCAAGATGCAGCCGACCCATCCGATCAGGCTAGGTCTCGCGCTCAACTTCTCCGTTTTCTATTACGAGATCCTCAACTCACCGGACAAGGCCTGCCAATTGGCTAAACAGGTACACCAGAGCTCCGAGTGGCATTGGTACAGCGGCTACGATGGTTCATGGTGCATACAACTTATGCGCGCGCGCCCACACAAACGCTCACGCACAAAGTCCCATTTATGTATGCGCGTATAAACAATTACAGATCGTGTTATTATTTCGTTTGCGTGTTCATTGCAGTTTGGATGTCGAGCAGATGCCAGAGCCGGAAAATACTTTATGCCGATTATGTTGGGATGCGGAGCTACTGCTTTACCGACGATTAGTATTGTTTACGATTGCATATTGGTGTGTATGAATTGAACGAAGTGAAAATTAATCGGCCATCGAGGCTAAAACGTGGCAGTGAATTTACTTCGTAATGAAATTCATCAATTATGTGATTATTTACTACTATTACCTTACGGAATTCAACGGAAATGCATTTTATAATCTTATGTATATATATATATATATATATATATATATATATATATATATATATATATATATATAGTACACGTTAATAATTTTTCACGATAGACAATTGTAAAACACAAAAATATTTGAATGGTTTTCTTTTAGTCTTTTGACAACCATTGAAATCAATCAAATATTACATTACGTTTAGTACAATTTGCCAATGGAGCATAGTGGCCGTACTTACTTTATCTGGTAAAACCTCGGTAAAACAGTAGCTATTTCTGCAAAATCTTACTTTGCGAAAAATTACTAAAAGCAAAACGTACGCGGTGTAGTAGTGGTGTATTTCAAGTGGTTTTCGTTGCAGCAGTTGTGGAGGACTCGCAGAAAGCCTACCAAGAAGCATTCGATATCGCAAAGTCGAAGATGCAGCCGACGCATCCAATAAGGCTCGGGCTGGCCCTCAACTTTTCCGTTTTCTATTATGAAATTATCAATTCACCTGCACGGGCCTGCCATTTAGCAAAACAGGTTAGCCAGCAGCATGAGCCGTGAGCTACGTCGCTCATAATTGCCTGGCTACTTTTGCGTGCACTCACTCATTATATTTGTTGTTCGTTTCATGAAAATACATTTGGACGGTTATCGTTATATTGCTGTTTTAGCCAAATTTTTGTCAGCATTTCATTATACGAGCTAATTTTAATAAATCAATTTCGTTGTTTGTTCCAATTGGATGCTTTAATTTATCGTATTTTCAATGTATTGTCATTCGTGAAATAACTACGTAAAAAAAGAAAATAATAAATAATCATCAATGATAATAAATCATAAATAAAGCGAGATTTATTGTATTATTACAATGGACGATATATGTGTACCAGTTTTGGATTAAAGGTCATTTTGATTTGCTAAATGCAGCAAATAGTGATTTGTTATTTTTATTTTAGTAATCTACATTCAATATTTATGAACTTGTAAATATATGGATTAAAAAGGATTATTTGAACGTTTAACTGTATTAGAACAACGAATATAATCTCCATCGTGTATGAAAAAAAAAAAAAAAAAAAAAAAAAAAAAAAAAACAACTAGAATAAGGTTTCGTTTGTTATCCCTATTTACTCACATCACATAAAATCACGAAACAATTATTTAACAATGTATTCTTATATTTTAACTTTCTTATTACAAAGAAATTGCAAGTAGCATTATGAAGTTGTGTTTCGTGCACGTACGTGAGTGACTGTGTGTGTGTGTGTGTGTGCGTTTGGCCACTTAAATTGCGTAATACCTTAAGCGCGCCACTAACCATCGTATGCTGTAGCCACAATTTTAATAACAAAAAGAAGATTTTGCTCCGAAGTGTTTGATTTATTTATTTTGAACTAAAATTGATTTATTTCATTCTATTAATACATATTCTATTAATATTATATTTTACTACATATAGGTCTGTATTCATATTTACATATACATTTAATTGTTCTTTAATAAACTTAATTAAAATCATAGGTACTTTATCATAAATGTTTATAAAATAAATACTCTGTGATAAAAGTATCACTTATATTGTTAAAAAATATAAAATATTGTGGTTGCACTTTAATAGCAATATAAAACAATTTTTAATAACAATTTTATTAATTTGACTTTATTATTCGTAACTGAATTATTAATTATATCTTAATTAAGCTTTCAAATTTATAAATATTCTCTAAATAAATGAATAAATAAATAAATTTATAGATATAGCAAATTCATTAGTAATACATTAGTTTGTAAATGATAATTTAGAGTTAATTATATTCGGTAATTAAAGCATTGAAACGATAGAGGTTATAAAGATATATTAAATGCACATTAAAATTTTACATGCTTGGCTAAATATTACTATGTATTAAATTATTTGACTAATTGAAATAAATTTCGATATTAACGTCGATTCAACGTGGGCAGTTTGACTTTAGTTGCGATTATGGATTGCCCGTAGTAATGCAAAAAGTCAATGCCTCATTAGATAGGCATGGGCTTAAGAATCAATTGTCAGTAATTAACTTTTGTTTTTCCTTTTATTCTCAATTTAGGCGTTCGACGACGCGATCGCCGAGCTCGACACACTAAACGAGGACAGCTACAAGGACTCGACGCTGATCATGCAGCTGTTGCGCGACAACCTCACCCTTTGGACCAGCGACACGCAGGGCGAGGGGGACGAGCCACAAGAGGGCAACGACAACTAACCTTCATAAATCGCGTGCGAGTCCTAAGAAAAAAAATCCTCACCTCGCCCCTCGTCCCATCCCCGACAGAAAAAAATCCACCCTTTCTAATCTTAAATAAGGAAACAAAAAAGAAGCAGGAAGAAAGAGCATCCTATTCTCTATCGTTCTCCCCGTTCTTACGAGAGTTCATCCTTCGTTTACTACCTGATCTACCTTCGAAGACTTCCTGTCCTTCCCTCCGGACTATGTACCTTCTTTAATCGACATTATAAGATGATGAAAAAAGATGTTTTTCTCTCGATCGCTCACACCACGAACATACCTCACTCCCTTAGCCCAATTACAAACGAAAACACGCAGAGACACGGTCGCGTGCACTCGCAAACGACAGCATCATTTAAGACACATACATACAAACAAACAAACAAACAAACAAACAAACAAACAAGCACACTCTTGGGCTTCGATGGGCAGTGCATGAAGATGCTTGTAACGAGGGTCCGGGCGCGAACTATCGTCGCCTTGCTCTACTTGGTCGAATTTTTGTGTAGTGTCGTAAGGGGCTCGAGGCTGTATTTATACGCTCCTGCGCGATTCCACGTTTGCTATTCTACGTCGTACACACATGCACATACGTACATATACAATATCTGAATTAATTATTATTAATATTATTAACGTGCGATGTATTAATAACAGCGTCTTCTTAAGTGCATGTACGTAAAGCGTATGGATATTAAAAACAAAATACAAAACAATAAAAAAAAAAACAAAAAAAAACACAAATAAAAAAAAGAACAAATGTATACACGCATAAGAGTATGGGCACGCGGAAAACTTGTAAATTCAGCCTTTGCAACTCAATCTCTTTCTCTTCTTCCCTCGTTTCTCCATTTGAATAAAGTGATTTACATTACAAAATCCACCCGCAAGCAACTCTCTCATCTTTATCATTCGTTCCATTCATTCATCGTTTCATCATCCATTCGCACGTCATCCAATCCTTACCTTTTGAAAATTCTTCTGAATTTCTCTTTTAGTTCCAATTATAACACTGTGAAGCCTTACTTTTTCTAGTTTTTTTTTCTTTTTTACACACACACACACACACACACACACACACACACACACACACGAAGCACGCATACGATCACATTATCTTTTTTCATCGCGCCGTTTTCTGTTACTATGTAGCATGCGAAAACTTGTCATCTCGTTTTTCTCCCTTTATTTCTCTTTCACAAGTATAAAAGGAACTCGATGAAAACTCGAGGGAAATAGATAAAGAGAAAGAGTGAGAGGGAGAAGAGGAGAGAGAGAGAGAGAGAGAGAGAGGGATAGATGATTTGTTTGCAAGTAAATATAATGACGAAGAGAAGGCGAGAAGGAAGATGATGTACCATCATGTGAACATCGCACGTTTTTCAAAAAAATTGTAAAAACGTATAGAGAACGGATAGAGGTGTAGAAGAACTTTAAAAGGGAATACACTAAACAGACATACAAAAATAAACATTACTAGATTATTAATAAAGTTCAACTGTCATCGTTTTTTCATTAAATTAAAGACAAAAAAAATTCGTAATTGTTCCAGCATGTATGATATATAAAGAAGAAGTGAAGAAGGTGGAGGAAAGAAGCGCAGGTGAAGAAGGAGCGACGAGAGAATCGATTTATACTAGCGAAATGCAAAAATTTAAAGTGTCATGTGGATAATATCATATAAGTTCGAGTTATTCAGCAAATTTATTGTCATTTAATTATTATATACATATATCTTTTGTAACGTGCGGCTCGATCTCGCGTTCCGGATAGAAAAGACACACTACTACGTTTTTCGGTTTTTCTTCTTTCCTTGTGTTACTTGTCCGTTATTATTATTATTATTATTATTATTATTATTATTATTATTATTATATTATTTTTAACTATTATATTTCTTCTACTTGTCTTCTTTCTTTGAAAGCAAAAATTATTTTAACAGTCGTAAGAATATCTGCCTTTGCAAAGGAAACCAAAACCAAGACTTGTATACCTCGTTTTTTTCCCATACAAATAAGAGTGTATAATCGCGCATTGAAAAATTGCATTCGTTTACGCAAACAAAAAATCATAACGCAAAAAACATATATATATATATATTATGAAAGAAAAAAAAATCATTTTTACACATACGAACATGCGAAGGCCGCGCTAAACACGCGCTTTTAAACATTAAAAAGGAAAAGAAACGTATACCTCAGATCCTTTTCATTGTCCCGGCAGCGAAACACCTCTTGGAATGTAATTTTTACTTTGTCGTTATTATTCTCGCGGTCGTTATTACTTTTGTAATTACTTTAGTAACAAAGTAAAATAAGGAAGATTAAAATTCCAGAAAAAAAAAATACAAAATTTGAGTGTCTTTTAAGATGAAATTCTTCAACACATTACATATAACATTTTTGCAAGAAAAGAGAGAGAGAGAGAGAGAGAGAGAGAGAATGATGAAAAGAAGGACAGAGAATAATTAGATTTATGAGTAATGGATCCATCGTCAGCTTATAATATTTCTCGCCTCGCTTTATATTTTCGTTGAAAAATGAGTATTGCAAATTTTATTATTTAATTTATTGTTTTGTGAAAAAAAAAGGGGAAACGCAAAACTCATTTCTTTCCATAGGGAGTTGTATTTTCCCAATTTCGTATTAATGAAATTAATCCTTATTGTATCGAGAGGAAGGAGAGAGAGAGAGAGAGAGAAAGAGAAATATTAAAAAAAAAAACATGGGGAAAATTATGAAAAGGGATGTGAAAAATTGTAGCAAAAAATAAAATCTTCCGTCATTCGCTGTATTCGTACATGTATATTCGTTTATGTGTACATAAATGGCGATCACCTTTTCTATGTGAAAATAAAAAAAAAAGTAAGCCACGTGTGCGCATGCTGTCTAATTCTTGCGAATGTGCGTGCGTGCGTGATTGAAAAGCAACAGAGAGAGAGAGAGAGAGAGAGAGAGAAGATGAAGATGGTTAATCGTAATGATAATCATGTGTAATTTGAGTCTCAACTTTTAATTAACATTTCACTGTCGTAATATCGATATCTTTCGATGTATCGGTGTTTTTGTCTCCCACGACAAAAAAAAAAAAAAAATAGAAAGGAAAAGCTCACAAACAAGAAAAATGATCTATGCCTTAATTGGCATTATCGATGCATCATTAAAATAAAGAAGGGATGGAGAAATTGTTGACATTGAGTAGGTGCCTATTTTGCATTGTTCAGTGCCACGAGAAATGTTTATAAAACTATCTCCATTATAAAAGAACTATGAATTAAGAAAACAAAAAAAATAATAATAATAAAGCAAGTGTTCTCTCAACTCTTAATAATTGTTTATAAGTGCGCGTGACGATGTGGAGGTAAACCAAAAATTTTAAAAATAAGTAGTATCCTCTTTCTCTCTCACTTTCTGAATTCCTTAGTACCCAACTTCTTTCCGTATTTCCTTCGAGATTAATATCGTATTTTTTGTTTTGTTTAAATTTTTGTATTGCGACCTTTTTTCGTATGGAAACATATATATATATATATATATGTATATATATGTATATATATATATATATATATATATATATATTCATATTACCGAAAGCACGCGCGCTCACCTAAATTTTCGTTTTAAGCCTCCGTATATTTTGTAGCCAAATTTTAATTAAAAATTTTCCAAGTACATGAATCTTGAGAAAATGAAAATGCCTTCCATTGATAATTTCCCCCCTTCATAGGACCGTCTAAATTTTTTTCTTAAAATTAAAATAAAAACAGACTGGGAAGTATGTTGAAAATAATTGATGCCTTGTCAGCGACGCGCACAGATAACTGGAAAAAGAGAGGAGGAAATGAAGTAAATGTGTGTGAGTGTGCTTTTATTACTTAATGCAAGTTTAAAATTGCTGCGTGATTTCGGTTTATTCTTTTTTTTCTTCTGATTGTATTCTTCGTTTTCTTCTTTTTTTTCGACGAAGACGAAGATATGACTAATATATTATTATTGTGATCAGACGTGAAATGATTTAAAGCAAAGATATATTCATAGTAGAATGAAAGAACCGAAATAATAAAAAGGATGACAGTGAAATAAACAAACAAGCAAAAGAAAAAAGAAAGAAAATTGGGGAAAACAAATGGCCACCACCGCTTTACCCACGTCCTTAAAAAAAAAAAATTACGTTCTCTATTTGTAACCATCGTCAAAACATCGTAATTGTAAATTATAATTATTATTATTATTATTATAAACGTTTACACGAAATAATAAATTCTGATAAAATGTCTGAAAAATGCATACATGTGTATATATATATATATATATATATATATATATATACGTATATGTATATATAAATAACATGCTAACACTCGTGTTTTGAACATGTAACAAAATTATCGGATTAGATAAACGCACGAAGCGGAGTTGTTCTGGAAAAGAATTTTCACGTTTTTTTCGCCTTTAAGTTATAAGAGTTCCTAAATCATTTTAAAAAAAAAAAAAAAAAAAAAAAAAAATTGAAAAGTAAAGTGCTGCGAATAAGACTATGAGGTTTTAATTTGTCGAAAGCTTATATATAAAAACGTTTATTTCGAGTCTCTACGAATAAATGATTGCTTATGCCTTTTTTTTTTTTTTTTTTTTAATCAATGAAATTTCAGCATGAAATCCTTTTGTTTATATATATATATATATATATATATATATATATAGATAGATAGATAGATTACATTTTTAATTTAACGTTAGATATAAGAAAAAAAAATTTTTTTTTTTCCTATCTTACAGTTCCAGACAACAGGTAAGTAAAATTTTATATCAAATATCTTTCATATAATACGTAGATAAAAATGATTAAACAAGTTCATAAATAACTCAATTCACATTTATTTAAATGAATAAGTAAATCATAGAAGATTAACATTCTTGTTTCGAGTTTATCTTTAGATCGGTATTAGTTTATTCAATTTTTTCGAGTCACAAGAATATTTATTGAATTTTTTATCAACCGAAGTCATATAAGGAGATCAAGAACGAGTTTGATTAAATTAGTGATTTGAATATTAATTATAAGCATTGTTGACATTTCATTTTTAAAAATTTTTTAAACTTTTTCATTAAGTTTAATCTAAATACACAATTATTTTTACGATTCGCTAGGTTTTGAACAGAATTCATTAATACTATCGATTATACAAATTACTATAACCTATCGATAATGAATCGTAAATAAAAAAAAAAAAAATTAATTTATAGTACGTACACAAAAATAATATAATTAATGAATCTTAATGGTAAATGCCTGATATATTTTCTCTAATTCCTCGTATTTCTTGGATAATTCGAAAAAAGTAAAATATATATTACTATTTATTTAACGAGCGATGTTATAATTAATAACATCTTGACAACTTCAATACGGTAAAATCGCAAATTGTTGTTTTTGCTTCTGAAAGAATAAAATTTTCTACTAAACAATTATAACATTTTTACTTCGATATTTTCATTAAAAGTGATTGCTTATAAAGAATTTATCATTTGACAAGATCTATACTGTATATATTGATATTTTGTCTATTGGCAATGGAGTTACGCATCATTTTTTCCCGATCAAGTTTGCGTTTACAACTTTTCGATGGATTATCGTGGAAAAAAGTGGCTCTTGGTTTCCAAGGAAATTCGAAAAAGGAGGGATTATTTGCCGATTGTAGCGATGTCTAATAAATCGGCACTTGTAATTGCTCACGGGTTTACTATAAATTTTGTAAACTTCATTAATGAACTACAGTCAACGGGAATATAAAATTGATCAATTCAATGTGGTAATGGGTAATGGTAATCTTAATTACCATTATTATTAATTAATTAATTAATTAATTCTTATCGTTTTCTTATTGAGAAGGATGGATTTTAATTTGATCGATCACCAAAACGTCCTCATTTCATTATTATTATAATAATATAATCTATTATTGTCATTCGCCAAGCGTAATAATAGCGATAACGGGGATTAAATATAATTAAATTAAATTAATCGAAAAACAAATATTCACGGCAATCATCGAGAGCCGGCATTACTGAAGCTTATTTTTATTTTATGTTTAACAGCCGACCATTGTACAAACATTTATATTTATAACAAGCCGCATCGTCGACACGATGGAACGTTGCTGAAAACGACGAATAAGGTAAAATCGACAGGCAGATTTACATTAAATGCACGCACATACGACAATTGCCGTGCCGATCGAGAATCTCGTATTCCTTGCACATATTCGTTAATGCCGACCGAGCCAGGGCTATTATTATTATTTTCAAATATCAAATACTTCCTCTCCAATCTCTTAGACTTTTAATTAGCTCTTAATCGACAGCGAGAGAGAGAGAGAGAGAGAGAGAGAGAGAGTGAAGTTATTCGTATGTTCAAATGAAATCACGGGATGCGTGTCCCTCGGCTCTCTGCGCAAAGGGCTGAGAAACGATCGGGGATGAGGTAATAAAAGTTACGGCGATGGAGCACAGCCAGGGTGTGGATGGTGATGTAGCTGACTTGTGGCACGGAGCCCTGGTTTTCATGATTTCGAAAGGGGCGCTCGGGCCTACGGAGGACCAATGAGCTTGAGGTCGTCAGGGCGCAGACTCGGCGCGCTGCGTCGTCCTCGAGGTTTGGAATATCGCCGGTTCGACTGGTGGGGGAACGTCGCTGCTTGCATCGGCGTCGTGGGGCTGATTAGGTGGAGGGGCCGCCCCTGCCAATCACCCAAAGGTCACCTTGGGGGCAGAGGTCCGCGCGGCGAGAGCCGCGAGTCTGCGCCCGCACTTGGTGATCGGCGCTCGAGTCCTGATCCGCAGTCCCCTCCTCCTTACCCGTAGATAGCCCAAGGACGTCGGATTAACGTTGGTGAGTTGTTGTTTTGTCGTTGGCTCGTCGTGGCCCTTTGCCGGTGAGTTTTCCAATGTTGGCGCGGCGCGGCGCGGCGCCTCAGGGGACTTAAGCGTCATGGCTCTCGTCGTGGCCGATTCGGCCTTGAGCCTTGCCGCTGGCGTGGCTCGTGGTTCGTGCAATATCAGCACCTTGAACTTGTTATTGGTGCGAAGGCTAAGTGTTCGATGTGCGAGGATGTTGGGTGGTGCCCCCCCCCCCCCCGGGGGGGGGGGGGGCTTGGTAGAAATTTAGATACGTTTTGATAGGGGTTTGAAATAACAGTGGTTGCGAGCGAACATGTAGGTTGCTGCTTATTGAATTGTTTCTTATCTATAAACACATTTCTAAGCGTTTTCTAACACATTTCAGCATTTCTAAGTTTTCTAAGCGTATTAAATCAATAGTGTTTTACGTGTGTATTTGATATGGCGCTTTCTTTACAGATTCTCATAAGTTAAAAGCAACATTGAAAGGACAGTTGGGATCATGGACGAGGAACAAGTGGTTCACAGGTTTATAAAACCTGGCAGTCACAGGGGAAAGGGACTCGCAGTATTTACGAGTGGTGGTGATTCTCAAGGTACGTACCTTTAACATTCCCTTACGATATTATCGATATGTAGCTATTTCTTTTTTTTTTTTTAAGCAGCTTACGATCCAACCTTTGAATCAATTTATGCGGTTAATTTTTGTACGATGATGTAATCTTATCGTGAAAAATGATAAATTTTCCACTGTTATGTAAATAATACGTCCTTTAATGCACATTGGTTAAATTCATTAGACTATTCCAAGTTATGGCAGTAGTAAATTCATTTTGGTGTACAATGTTTATGTGTGGCGGAGGGGCGAGGGAATAACGAGAAAACTTACATTTAATACTAAATAACTATTGTAAATGTATATTTTAATAATGATAGGAGGTTGCATAATTAACTGTACCGTGTTCTTCAGGTATGAACGCAGCGGTTCGTGCAGTTGTACGCATGAGCATTTATCTTGGTTGTAAAGTCTTTTTTATCAGAGAGGGTTACCAAGGAATGGTAGATGGCGATGAAAATTTTGTCGAGGCCAGTTGGTCGTCAGTCTCTTGCATCATCCATCGGGTAAGTTTGAATGATTTAAGTAAGTATATTAATGGCGGAGACAAATAGTTTTGTACTTTGACCGTCGAGATTAGTTCTTCTTTATGTCAGGCGTAATTTTCATTAAAAATTGATAACTTTAGTAGTTTGAGAGTAAAGTCGTTACCTATAATGCCATTGATTAGTCACGTAAAAGTTGCAATGCAACTTTCGACTCTAAAAGAGTATATATATCTTTAGTTGAAGCATATATTAAATATTTTTAAATTTACCATCGATTATACATTCGCCTTCCATATTAGCATATATTAGATGAAAAACATTTTCATTACAGGGTGGTACGGTCATTGGTTCAGCACGTTCTATGGATTTCAAAGAGCGCGAAGGAAGAAAGAAGGCAGCTAAGAATTTGGTTAAACGTGGTATATCTAATTTGTGCGTCATCGGAGGGGACGGTTCTCTCACTGGTGCCAATCTTTTCAAGGAGGAATGGTCCGATCTGTTGCAAGAACTGCTCAAAGAAGGTTGTATTGAGTTTGAAAGCCCTTTAACAAGTATAATAACTAGAAGTTTTCCTCCCTTCAAAAATGGCCACAAATTACAATTTCTAATAGATTTACAAATATTTATAAATTTAAATTTCAAAAGTGCTCTAACAACGTGCCATTCAATTCTGTAAAATTTATATTCTCAAAGTGATTTATCTATGTAATGTCAAAAAATTCTATTATTACATAAGTATTCCAAAGAAGGCAGAAACAATTATGTATATTTTATTACAATATTTCAAGTTATTAAAGAATTGTAGAAATTATTTTTTATAAATATGACGCAATCGATAGTGATATGAACAGTAGCATACGCATATATATATATATATATTATTTATTATATATATTTCAATTAACGTCTTTATCAGAATTGAATCGCATAATTATCACTTTGCTAATGATGTTTCATCGAGATCAATTGCTGGTAATAGAGTGAATGCGCAACTCAATATTATATTGCAATTCTAATGGATAAATTTTTTAATATTATAAAGTAAGTGGTAGAAGGTATTAAAAATAGATGCAAATAATTCTAATAATTATTTAAAATCTCGGTGTACTCTACACTTTCCTTCATAATATTTGTGCTCACCAACGTTGAAATAAGAGAGAGAGAGAGAGAGAGAGAGAGAGAGAGAGAGAGAGCATAACGAAACTCCAATAAAAAAATGAATAAATACTTAATTAAATAAAGAATAGAAGGAAAAGAAATGAAAACGAAAAAACGAATTCGTCGTAGGTGAGATCACGAGCGACGAGTGTATAAACTATCAACAGCTGCATATCGTCGGTATGGTTGGCTCGATCGATAATGATTTTTGCGGCACCGACATGACGATTGGCACTGATACAGCATTACACAGGATCATCGAGAGCATCGATGCCATCGTCAGTACAGCCTATTCGCATCAGCGCACCTTTATTATGGAAGTCATGGGTCGCCATTGCGGGTAAGAATGAATAATGGAATAAATAAATATGGGGCGATTATTATCGATTGCATTTACTTATTTACATATTTGCATAATGTACGCGAATGTTAGTTTGCAAAATAATCTAAGGCAGTATAGCCAATTTGCGCATTAAATGTGTTAATCCAAATTCATAAATCTGCCAAAGGATTATGTTGTTATTCGTATTTATTTATTTTTTTTTTTTTTTACAATTCATCGTCGTCCTATGCTCTTGCATGAAAAAAAAGCATTGCCGAAGACTTTCCATTTTCTATTTTGTTTTAATAAGTAATGGCAATTGCGTCGGGTCCTCTGCTTCTATCAGTATTTCTATTTGGCTTGAAATTCATATGCCTAATATGAAAATTTGTATAACCGTGATAAATTGTGACGAGTGATTTTGGACAATTGAATAAATTGTGGCGAATTGGAAAATGGACGATTGGATTAAAATAAGACACCGTCAATTGCGATATTGGGAATGGCAATGCCAGTGCAAAATTTTTTTTATGAACGATAGTAGACTAAAGTCTCATTAAATTTTCTCTTTAGCGTATAGTATAGACGTGGTTGTAGGCGTTGGGCGTGACTCGACGGATAAACACGAGCGCATGATTAAACGTATTAATAAAGCGAAACAATTTTGGGAAAAAACAAATAGGTACCTGGCTATCGTGAGTGCCTTAGCCGCGGGGGCGGATTATGTGTTCTGCCCGGAATGTCCACCTCCCATCGACTGGCCTGAGAGACTTTGCAAAAAGTTGAAGCAGGCATGTCACACGAATTTATTTTATTTTCTATCAATGTTCTAATCATATATAACCCACCTACCCGTTTATCTTGTTGTCCTTCCAATTTAATTATCGTGTGAAAGTCGTTGTAGACGATGATTGCGAATCACGTGCGAGAGTTGTCGTTGTGTTTATTTTTCAATGTTAACTAACTTACGCATCTTACTCTAATTATTTTCCTTACCGATGATACAAAAGCTCGAAGCGATTAAGATATTTCATTTATGAATTTGCGATGAACGCTTGAAATTTATGGCAAATTTATAAATGTAAATAACACTTCTGTTACATAGCGTAACAGTGTAGTCCAGGTGTAAGTGTAGCGTAAGAAAAAAGTTATTGGAAGAAAAGAAAAAAAAAGCATAAAATGATTTATATTTATAATTGTCATGAAAAATGTACGTGTGCCTTTTTTGGTTGTGAATTTTAAATTAATCTTGAATTTGCAATTAGTCCCGATCAACCGATTATTAATATTAACGCATAAGCTTGAGTCTTGTTTAGAAAGTAGAATTATTAGCAAGGATGACGTTATAAAGTAATTAGCGACAGTAGCAATGGTAATCGAGTACCTCCGACTGCCGACTAATCAAAGTGGAGAAAGTCACGATATATGCACAATCGTTACAAGTTGATATTTTTCACTATTTACCATCTGTTGTCGCTAATTGTTATACTATTATCGTTATGATAACAATTATTATCGTCACGTTATATCCTTATCGTTATACTCTCCGTAATGGCTAATTATCCAGTTTTCCTCCAATTCTCCGCATTATATTCTGTGCCCTATGACGAGTCAGTCGATCAGAATTAAATGAGCTCGTTAAACTGCCCGTGCTCGTCTCATTGGTAGGACAGGGACTAGTACCTGCTACCTGGCACTAAGCTTTATTTGGGATGGGGGGTGGAGTCGAATGGGCGGGAGGTGTTGAGGTCTCCGTACCCCCCCCCCCCATCCTCTAATCCCCTAATCCCCTAAATTATGCACACGTGCATGCAATCACGTACATTAGTCGCCGCTACGCTCGCGAAGCTTAGCAAATATGGCCTAAATACGTATTAATCCTATAAGTTTCCTGTTCTCGAACCATAATTGCTGATTTCTCCTTCGGCACTTTACTATAGCGAATGTAGCAAGCATAAAGCAGTAGGCGTTGGCGCGCTTTCATTGAGTTTGCATTTAAAATTGCAGCTATCTGGCTCTAGTGGCGGCTATATGTAGCGAAGCTGACTATGTATTCATCCCGGAATGGCCACCGGAGCAGGATTGGCCAAACAAGCTCTGCAAAAAGTTGATGCAGGTTCGCTAAACACCTTTTTATTTTTTTTTTTTTTTTTTTTTT